ATCATGCCAAAATAGATTTTAAAATAATTAAAATAGACAAAAATAGACAATTTTCCTGAAAAAAATCCCAAATGGTTTACAAAGGAAAAGCTGCTTCACTCCACTAGTAATTAGGCAAATGTAATTTAAAAAGATAATAGCATTAATTTCACACTTTTCTCATATTTAATATATGAAATGTTAGGAAGAAAATAGAACAATGTGAACTTGATGCATGCTGGTGGGAAAGGCAACTGAAGTAATAGTTTTGGAAAGCTATTTGGCTATATCTTTATCTATATCTATATAGATATAGCCATACCTCATGATGATATAGATATGCCTATCCTAGAAGTAGCAGTTCCACTGAACTGTACCTGTCTCAAGGAGACTTTTGCATGAATGTACCTGGAACCATGCACAAGAATGTGCTTATATGTATACCTACTTGCAGAAGCAAAAGCCTGGAACCAACTCAAATGTCTAACAGAGAAATAGACAAATGAAAGACCAAGTATACTACCAGGAAAGTCAAATCAATTAGAACTAAGTGCCAGGAAATATATAAATCTCAGGAAAAAAGAGGATTTCTTTATAAAAAAAAGTACATGGATTATTTTGTGCTTAAAATTTAAAAGCATGCAATAGTAAATAACATATAGTAAAAACATGTAATGATAATACAAGAAAATAATGCATTTCCAGTAGTATTTACTGCCAAGGAGAAAAGAAAATATATAGGATCAGGAAGGTGAGCTCGGGATCCTACACAGGTAACAATTTCCCTTTTCTTAAAAAAAAAGATGATAAGTAGACAGGGCACCATGCACTGCCATTTTTATACCATAATTATATTCTTTTGTATCTATGCATGGAATTTAGTGATTCAATATACGACTATGTTTTTAATCAGAAAAAAAAAAAAAAATAGCAGATATCCGGCAACAGTTGGCCAGATTAGAATAGCAGCTGCCTCAGTAAGCAGCATCTCCATGACGTCTTTCACGTACCAGTCTGCGCCATTTACCCAACACCACTGTGCTGGGACTGTCGTTTTACTTAGAGCTTTCTTGCAGGTCACTCACTGATACCACCTTGTCTCGTCTCTGTGGGCACCTGAGTTTATGACCCCTGGACTAGAACGGTTCTTCTCTAACTGTGGCCCCTAACGCAGAAGCATTCCCATCCCTGTGAGGTTTACGGATACAGAAATGTGGGTGCTGAATCAGACACTCTGGAAACGGGCCGAGAATCTGTGCTTTTGCCCTCCAGGCTATTCTGAAGATCCATTTGAAAATTGTTCTTAAGGACCTGGGCTAGCCCATGGACCTTTCTACTCGGTCCTTCTTCCGTCTGTACTTTTTCATCAAGGCTGTTCCTCCTCCTCCTCTGGGAGAGTTGCATGTTCTCCTAAGGCAAGCAGCATTTTCTTACAGCAGCCTGCAGGACCCTCGCTCCTCTCTGTCAGGAGGAAGCCTGCTTCCATGCAGTCTAAGCAGTTGTGGTGTGGTCGTAAATTTGTGGCTAGAAACCGATGGGCCTCACTGCAGTACCTTGTCTGCCCTCTGCAGTTCCCAAGGACTAGTGGAGGTGGGTTTTCTCAGTGGAAAGATTAGCATGGGCACATACTGTAGTAAGTCTGCCTCAACATCACAGGGTGTTTAAAATGACCGTGAAAGCAAGAGCCTGTTATCCTTTGGTCTCTGCTTTAAGGAAATTTTCATACTCTGGTGGTTGTGACATTTCACAGTAGGACAGCGTAAGAGTAGCTCCCTTCCTCAGCACACTGGCATTTCCATTGCTGAGAGAAGAGAAAGGGCTGCAGTTATTTCTGAGTCCATTTTTCTGACCTTGAAGCCCTCCTAGTGATCTCAGAGACCTCATGCAGTTTGCAAGAATAAAGCGAATTCTAATGCCTGCCTGAAGTAACCACACTGCATGTGAGAAAGTGCTCCAGACTCCACTCATGTTCTATAGTAATCTCTTTCATTCTCCCCAACTATCTTTTTATATTGAATCATTCACTTGGAAGGCTGTGTACCCAGTATGAACTAATTTAGCATATCCTGAATTTGATATCAGCCATGTGCAGTTTGTGCATGAGAAATACCACGAAGTATGTGTCCCTCAGCCATATTCAGGACTATCACCTTCTGGTCATTTATGTGGATGAAGTTGGGAAATGCAAGTGCTAATTCCATGAGAAAAGGGAGAGTGTTTAATTACAGAGAGCAGGATAAATATGTGGATGAGAAGAAAGTACAGTTCTTCTGTGGAGAAATATGGTAAACAATATACTTGCTTGTAAAAAATAGGGTTAGAATTTCACTCTGCCATAATTGGAAGTATAGCCCTGAGCAATCAGTTTCCTTGTTTGTACTACTAAGACCATGGAAACACTGGGTTGATCCAGCTTTGTAAAGATTAAATACGTAAGATCACACATATGAAGATTTTTGTACAATATCATCACCTAGTAAACCCTCAATAAAATATACCTCATGTTTGCAGCAAGAAATAAGACCAACAAAATAAGTCAGAGCAAATGCTACCTGGCTCAATAAGCTTAGGAGTTCAGATCTCTCCTGAGGAGCCCGGGAAAGTTTTGATGAGAACAATGAGCTATTCAGCACTTCCTTCAGGAAGATATATTTCTGTGTGATGCAGAGTGGGAAAATGTAAAAGTTTGAGACCAAACTTGTGAGGTAGGTACCATGACTCAGCTTACAGATGGCCTGGTCTATGAAGAAGAGAGAACTTGAGAGTTCAAAGCTGAATTAAGTGATGAACTGAGGGAGGGAAGAAGGAAGGAACGAGAAAGAAAGGATGGAATGAGGGATTTCGGCTGGTGAAGGGGAAACACGGTGGTCCATGGATGAGCTGGGCATGATAGTATGCTATCAGGGCTAACGGGTCATCAGTCATGGGAACAAAGTAGTAGACAACTGATAATAAACTATGGAAGTCGGCTGGAATGTACAGGAGAGAAACAGATGAGAAAATGACACAAAATTATTTTCATGTTTCAAAAATGAGAGGAGGCCAGGGACAGAACAGAATTTCATCTGAGCTGAGTGAAGGTCCATAGTCAAGCCTTCCTGTTGCCCTGGAAACTACTCCTTGCTTACTGCCCTGACATCTTCTCCTCAGGAGCAAACCACATGCTGATGACGTAAACCATAATAATAGGCAGCACCGGAGCAGTTCAGGCAGCCTTGGTGAAGATCTTGTGAGAAGTAAAGAATGGGATATGGCGACTTTTGCTACACACAAAGGAGTGAAGTCAATAAGGATGTGTTAAAGAGAAAGCCAAGCTTTCTCTTTGTAGAAGAACAATAGGCCTGCTGCTTCTCTTTTCACTCCAGTTGACTCATTGTGGAGGAAAAATTCAGGCAGATAGCTGTTGCCTGGAAGCTGTCATCAAGAACCCACTCCAAGATGTGTAGAGGAGTCTTGCTGGTGTCAGTGTAATGTGGCTGATTGTTCAGCAGTGGCATCTCACTGGCCAGTTTGCTCCTCTGGCCACTGACTGTGACCCAAGAGGTTTGACCTGCCCAGATGGAGTGGTAGAAGCATAATGGGGAGTCAGTAGTGTGAAACATGGGTAATGTTGCTTTTTAACATGCTGAGAATGTCCAAAAGTTAGAAACGTTAAGTCAGGAAATTGGTCTGAATCAAAGCAGGTGGAAGGTCACTGCTGACGCCCTTGCCTCCCCAAATGGGATTTTTTTCTTTGCAACAGAGACAAGGATCCTCACACACTCCTAATCTAATAATATTTTTAAGATGTAGATGATTAGGGGATGGTTGGATTTTGGTAATGTTTTTCTCATTAGTGACTTAGGCAAAAGACTTTCCAAAGAGTAGTATCCTGTCTTTTGTCATCGTAATTAACATATGCCATGACTGCTTATACTTCTCTTGTGATATTTCTTATCTTACATACAGTAAAATTTGCTCATTGGTGAGTTTTTGCAAATACATAGAGAAGTGCAACAACCACTGCAATCAATACACAAGACAGAGTTCCACCACCCAAAACATCCCCTATTCATGCTGTCCCTTGGCAACCAAACTAGCTCACCTTGCCTGGCAACCATTGGAAATGTTCTAAATCTTCTTTTGAAAAACTTCATTGTAAAGTAAGTCTCAAGACTCCTCTATGATTTGCTATTATTACAATAGTAACACCAGTACAGGTTGAGTATTTTTAATCTGAGAACTCAAACTGATTCAAATTGCAAAACTTTTTGGGTGCTAATAGGAGGCTTAGAAAACTTCAGATTTTGGAGAATTTTGGATTTTCAGATTAAGGATGGTCAACTAGTAAAGTCTATGAAAACATTCCAAAATCTGAAAAAAATATCTGAAACACTTCTGCTTCATTCAATTTTAATATTGTTTAATACATATTTGCATTTCCTGCATGTCAGTTACCAGTGGAAGCTCTTCATAGATGGGAAAACTGAGGCTTCGAGAAATTTTAGAAAGGAGAGAAAAAGGAAGAAAGACTTGGCCAGGATCATACAGTGACCACTTCATGGCTTGATTCTAAGTACATGTCATTACTAAGTGTATTTCCAGTTTTCCAATATGATTTTACCTCCACTGAAGACACCGAAAATAGGACGAAGTGGAAAGAAAACCAATTCACCAATACCAGTTTCAGAAAGTTCATCTTAGACCTAGGGTTGTCCTAGTCTATAAAAAACTGTGCATGTAAGAGTTTGGTTAATTATATTAATGAAGTAAATACAACAATAAATGACAAGGTATAAGATAAATGAATCCATGGCTCTATAACTCCTTCCTTTTGACCTCTGAGCAAGCAATGAAGATTAAACCTAGAGCTCTTATATTCTCTGCCATAACTTGTCCAGAATGGCAAGAAAAAAAAAAAAACTGGACAGATTCTCTGATCAAGTACTGAAATCCTGTTTCATTGCCAAGAACATCAACTTCCTCTCAAATGTACAAAAAGGGGATTAGGATCTTTAATCTCCAGCTCTCATATGTTTCAGATTGGAGTCCCCAACCAGGTCTCTGGTGATGGAAGCCCCCAAGGGAGTAGAAATAAATGCAGAAGCAGGCAACATGGAAGCCACCTGCAGAACCGAGCTGCGACTGGAATCCAAAGATGGAGAGGTGAGGAGGAGGGAGGGACAGAGCCCAAAGATATCTGAGGCCAGGAGGCCAGTCTGCCAAAGCTGATTTGCCACCGATATCATTCCTATACAGTATCAACCAAAAAGCCAATCAGAAAGTTTTATTTTCTGGAACAAATAGTTTAACAGCACAGTTATAAGCCAAACCCATAATACATAAAAGTTATGATTCATTATTTGTAAAATGCTAGCATAATGGCATGTATTGCAAGTACAGAATTATATGACCGTAACAATGAAGGCTATTTCCAAATTCTGTCACTTCCTGCCTTAAAATAAGATTTAGCTAGCCAGCATAATTAAGTTGTATTTCACACCCATCTGGCTAAAGATGAACTGAATTTACTTGTAGTTATTTTATGTCATATGTTTAAATTTTCAGTGATGATGGAGTCACATCCAATGGCAATCCCTAAACAGAACAAGCAGAAAAGTCAACAGGGGAAAACTAGGCAGCAAAAGAATGAAGGATGGCAGATTCCCATTCTCTTCCCAATTGGGAAGACAGAAATTCCACTTGTGCTTTTGCAAGCAATAAAAAGTAAATGCCCTTCCCCCCAAAATCATAATTTGACTGCAAACTTTTAAAAATGCTTTTAAAGTGTTTGTAAGTGAACTTTTGATACAAAAGTAAGACAGAAAATGTGGCTTTTTAAAAGACAAATCTCTGTTCTACCTCGCATATCTATGTGGAGAATACTATGCTCCACTTGCTGCGGTATATCTCCTCTGTGTATATAAAAGTCCTTCCCTTGATTTATTTGGTGTTGGCTGTTTTCTTTTGAAAAAGTTAGGTGAATATTCAGTTATCACAACTGCTTCCTCAAATAACCACAAACTGCAAGCCACATATATAACAAAAATAGAAACTACCTCACATATTCAATTCATAGATACCAGATTTTGAATGCTGCAAGAAATGGTTAGAATCATAAATCTAATGACAACTTTCAGTACTGCTTATTCTTTATAGTCATGTATTTTTTAGTCTATCCAATAGAATATCAGCCCCACAGGGAGTTAAAAAAAAAAGAGAGAGAAAAAGTCACTAACCATTTCACTTTACATTTGGAAAATACTTTCTTCTTAAAGATCTACCTTGTATGTAGACATAAGTGAGATCTGAGAAATTCCATAGTAATAAAAATTGTTAAATGTAGCATTTCCATATTTATTTCACACTAGGACACTATTCACATTTTACATGTCGTACTTTTGCAAAATGTTAATAACAAGCAATGAACCATATTTTGCTAGAATATTAGCTTCTGGGAGGACAGAGACTTTGTCTTACTTCTGCCCGAATCCTCCATGTGCCTCCATGGCGCAACCCATAGGAGGCGTTCGTGGGGTTTTAACTGAACTGCACGTCCATCTATTGGTCCTGAGCATGCTCTTTTCTGAATGTCAAAAGCACAGACGACAGCCTCTCACTGACTCTTTCCCACCTATTCCCTCTCTCTAGATTAAGTTAGATGCTGCGAAAATCAAACTACCTAGACTGCCTCATGGATCCTACACCCCCACGGGAACGAGGCAGAAGGTCTTCGAGATCTGCGTCTGCGCCAATGGGAGATTATTCCTCTCCCAGGCAGGAACCGGTTCCACTTGTCAGATAAACACAAGTGTCTGCCTTTGAGAGACTCTCCAGAGTGGACACTGTCGGCAACGTGAAGGCCTTTTTCTGGCTTTAGACACTGGCTGCCGGCTCTTTTTACTAGAACACAGAAAGCCTATCAAAGACCTTTTATGTGTGAGTGTGTGTACACGCGTGAGTGTGTTTGTGTGTGTGAGTGGATATAAATATATATATAAATATATATAAATAAATATATATATATCCTCTGTATAAAATGAGGTTTCAGTACAAAAGGAACCATGGGTGACCCTGTGATACCCACCATCATTTTCCATTCCATCACCACCATCTACAAGACAAAGTCTAAATACTAATTCACACTCAATATTCCTTAGGCCAGTGATGGTGAACCTTTTAGATAGTTCAATGTTACGAACAGCCCACTGTGGCCAGAGGTTCACCAACACTGCCCTAGACCATTCGGGATCACACTGTGCATTGAAAAGAATATTCATCAACACGTTCAAGTAATAGCATATCTTCTCTTCCTGTGTCACTGAGGCCACGATGGTGGGAATCTCCAAGTCAAGCCAAGCACTGAAATCTTTGTATCAAAAATAGACATTTTGAATGGGGAGGTGCTGCTTATTAGCATAACGTGTGCTTAGCATGTGTGAGGTCCTGTGTTCATCCCCACTGTCTCACACACACACACACACACAAACACACTAGACATTTGGCTTCCCTTTTTTAGTTTTCAAAGACTGGCCAGCTTCTACCTTCAAGTAACGGATGGGGCAGTGCCGTTAAAGTCAGCCATAAGAACTCAAAATGGCCACCCCACAATTACAGCCCAATGTATTGGGGCTTTTGTTCCTGGATGAATGAGGAGGATGAATTTGGACAAATTCTAAACTGCTCACACAACTTCTGCTTATCTTACTTCCTTTAAAACTCACATATTCTCCCGCAGTCAAAATAAGAGTTGTAAATCAGCACATAATAGGAGAACAGCTGCTCTTCACTCGGCTGGAAGCTACTCAACGGCATGGGAGCAAAGAATAAACGGGCGATATGTCTCTGCTCAAAGGAAAAATGACTCAAAAGCTGTTATATTCTCAGTTTTTACTTTACCCAACATGCTCCCACCCAAAATGATCAGGTCAATCAAAATCCCTAAGCGTGGAACCACAATGGCAGGAAAAGTCATTTTAAGGTAGAAATCTAATTAAGAGTAGCGCTGAGAACCTAATTAGTTTTTATATGTTTCTTGGGATTGTGAGGTAACTTAGAGCCATGCCTTGTATTCTTAAAGGCATGCACAAACTCTGTGGCTTTGATCTCTTATATATTTTTTTTTTCAGTGCTGGTCATATATTCCTTAATCTATTATTTTCTCCAGGAATCACAGCTCTAAAGCATTGCATGCTGCCAGAATTGCTCCCTGAACGTTAATGTAAACTGAAGCACTATCTTTATCAGAATCACTGTGCCCCCTGGGGCCCAAAAGCAACCCCATCCCCATCTGCAGAAGCAACTCTGATTCCCACCATCGGCTACCTCTCATCACTCCACCTTCATCACATGCTCCAGGGTCACCCTGGCCAGCTCTTGTGCTGGGACGGGGGATTACACCATCTCTGTTCAAAGAGGGGGAAATGTGCCTATGCCTTACGTCAATGCACTCAGCAAGGAGAAGCACATCCTATTTATCTTGTTACCTGTAGTTTATTTTGAGCCATTGGATGGGGAATTGTTTAGTTATGACTGGGCATGAAATCTGGTAGACAAATCCAATGGTTGACAGATGTGGTTTCTATGGAGCCCAGAATGAAGATGTAATTGTCTTACAGAGTCTTGGATGCCATTTAACAATCAGTGGCCCTACACTCCTATATGAAGTTGTGTTTTGTAGGCCTGAATGGCTTTTTTTCTCCTCAACAAGGTTCTATTTTTCTTACTTCACTAGCAGGAGAAGGTTTGTGGCAGAAGATAAAAAGAGGTTTGATATTTTCGAGATGACACCCACACTTCAGGCTAAGGTTTGCACACATGAGATGTAAAATCAAGCTGTGTGGTACAGTATTCAGTTACTCAGAAGGGGGAGAGGGACGGGTGATCCTAGCCTCATCTGTGATTTTGCTGGCTTTGAGGCTGTAGGCTGGCTCTCCAATATCTTATGCAGAAGAACAGGTTGGTCAATCTTAAGGCAAGATTCTAAGATTGCTTAGTTTGCAGCACTAGGACCTAACAAGGGACACCTGTCATAAAAGACATCAGGTTACTCTGGATCAGTATTGCCAATCAGTATTTCTTTAAGACCATGTTAGCAGAGTCTGCATGCATCGCACATTGTACACAAGGTTTTTGCCAGCCAGGAAATGGCTCCCTTGGTTGTTGGAAACACCAACCCCATTTTATTCTGATACACAGCTGTAATAACTCTGAGGTCCTTTGTGGCTAAAAACCTTGAAACGGTTTTTCTTAAAAGCAGGCTATCTTTGTATTTTGTCATCTCACATATGGAAAATGAGAAAAAAAATGTTCCCTGGACCATTTTCCTCTGATTTTGTTCTAATCATGACATAAGCACCTTGGGAGTTTTATGGCCCCTCCCCAAAATGTAGTATGGTCCCACTTGTGAAATTAAATCCTAAGACTAATCAGATGACAAATACAATAAAGAGAATACCAATCACGAATATAGATGAAACACCTTTGGGGGGAAACCTGATATAAAACTCTGGCTTTTGCTTATGCTAAATGACCACAATCCATAAAGCAATAAGCAGGAACTCTGGGGTGAATGCAGTTATGTATTTTAGTTCAGACTTTGGAAATCAGTAAAATGCATTCCATATTCTTCAGTGTACATCTTGTACTCCCAATACTCTCTAACCAGAATATCTGTCCAGTGTCATGAGAGGATTTTATCTGAATTCTGGGGGGAAAATACCTTTTACATTAAAATCAGCTAATCTTAATTTTAAAAACAAGCTTCTAATATTTATATAGTTTATAATATCCTGTAGACAATCACACCTTTGGGTACATTAAGCAGTTGGAGGCTTAACAGAGCTCGAAGGAATCTTCAATACACTAGAAGTTCTAGTACGCTAATACTCTTCAGAAAATTTTTATAAATTAAAAATTGATTTCCAGATATGTTTAGCATTTAGTTCTACTTGATATATGCTCAGTAGGTGATTAAATTTCCATCTTGGGAAACTACTCAAGCATGATGAAGGTGTTTGGAAGCCCTATGGTGGCATCTAGCTAGGTGGAAACAAGACATATGGCTTTATAATTGTTATGTTATCAGAGAGAAAGAATTTATAAACTTGAATTACCTTGTAACTTCCTTAAGGTCATTTTCCCTTTGGATAATTTCCACTGTACCCCCAGCAATCATAGACCAAAGAGTGCTTGAGGTTTGACCCTAGAACAAGGATCAGCAAACTCTGACCTGGAGACTTAATCTGACTCAGTACCTGTTTTCCTGAATATATTTCACTGTTACGCAGCCACAAACATTCATTAATATGTTACCAACCACTGATATCATTCTGCAACACTGGGCTTGAACAGTTGTCCAGGGACTGCATGGCCCACAACCATAATTGTTACTGTTTGGCCTTCCATAGAGAAAACTTGCTGACCCTGACCTACAGGGATGTAGGTATGGATTGTGGTATGTGTTGGACACAGGAACAAGAAAGCAGATTCCTCAGTAGCAAAATGTAAGCCTACATTTCCAGGTAGGCTTGAGAATATAAACACATGACAAATATTTTAGGAAAGAAGATATTGCTTATACTACTTGAAGTAACACACCCACAGTGTGTTCCCAATAGGGAAATGCAGGATCAGAGGATTTTTTGGGAATAAGGAGAATGGAATTAGGGGAAGCTTTAGGAAAAAAGGAAAACTGTAATCTTCCAAGAGTTTTTTCTGAGGAACCTTGATAGAAAGATGGTTCCTTAAATCCTGTCCATTGTGTGACAGGAAGTAAAGCCAAGGTACCCTAGGCTTTAAATTTAGTCTCTTTACTGAGAAGGTTTTTCTACTACGTATATTAACATATTTTCACCTCACTTTCCCATATTCAGGAAAGATGTCCATTCCAAGGTCTCCCAGAACATACTTTTAACTTCACAATGTCACTTTTGGCCTCCTTGACCTCAGTTACTTGCGTCTTTAGGCTGTGACTATGGTCCTACAGCCACACCAGGCTGAAACAGAGAGCTGGAACACTGATAATTGGAAGTGCTAAAAGAAGCAACATCTTAAAATATGCAGGAAGAAAAATGTAGTGAAATTATTTTACAGATCCATCACTGGGAGAAACCAGATTAATGCCCAAGTTTCCTAGGATGTAGGTTTTTGTTCTTTGGTGTGGAGAGAATGCAAAAAAAGACGTGTTTTGGACTGCAGCATCTCTGCTTCTGTATGCTAAGGTAGATTTCTACCAGAGATTTTTCTCCTCTGACGGTATCCCTTTTGCTAAAAATTGCTTTATACTCAAATTGTTAAAACAGCATCAGTTAACAATGACCCTTTCCAAATATTAGTATCCATACTGAGGAGGCAGGATTTATTTTTAAGTGAAAATTTACCACCATTAACCAGTCCCTAATCATTTAGGCAGTTCTTCATTCCAGTATGTGGATATAAATGAAAGAAGACTAAGTTGGCTATAGAATGAGGATATCTTGCTTTTGTTTATCTTCAGGCAAAAGGTCGCATGAAATTTGGACCAAACAAGTAAAAGGATCCATTTAAGCCCATGATCCTCTTTTTTAAAGGTCTATGAAAAGTGAAGAATCTATTTTAAGTAAGTTGTAAACAAAACCAGTTCTCCTCTTTCTTCCTGTCCCCTGGAAATCTTAGACAAAAGAGGATACAGAAGCAGTTTCTTGAATGATACATTTGCATGGTGCTCCAGTAGCAAATGGGAAAAAAAGTTATAATGAAAGAAACAACCTTAGAAAACAGGCTTTTTATCTCAAAGATAAAATGTCTCTCTTGCGGTCTTTCATCACTTTCTTCTTGGTGGAAGGTTCCCCCGGTTTCAACATATTTCCATTAAAATAGTCAAAGCCACTGCATTGGGATGTCAGACGCATCTCTTTCTTAGTGGTAACCAGAATTTAAAATTATACAGTTGCCTCTGAATTTCTCACAAAGCCAAACCACTGATAACAGATACAGCAGTCGAGCCTGCTGCTTCAGCCTGCACTCCACACCACACGCATTAGCACTTTCAAAAGCAATGTGATTTCCATGGCTCTTAAAAGCTTTCTTCATAATAGAGTCCTTGAAATTTCTCAAGGCAGGTCTGAATGGCAAAGCGAAAATAATTACTTGTGGGAGGCCCTCCTTTGGAGCATTGTTAGAGCACAAGTGTAAAAGAAAATACCCCTCTGGGGACAACCCATGTTCAAATATGCTATTTGGTTCTCCCCCAGCTTCTTTTTGTAGAAATTTACCGATAGGAAATTAGTATCCTCCTTTGAGAAAAAGAGAGCGAGAATGTTATGAGCCCTTGATGCTATAGGAAGTGTGATGTAACACAGTATGAATGATGCCATCAAGCTCAGCGATAAATAGTCTCATACCGAACAGCATCAACACTGGCTGCTGCACCTTAATTTCAGTCTAGCTGCTGATAGCATCAGTAACCACTTTGAGGTTTGCAATAGGTAAGAAGGTTTAGAGCCCAAATCCACGTAGGAAGTCGGAGAAGGTTCCAAATGCTTCCTTAATCACATAGATATTCTCACTATGAAATGAGTGCATTTTGCTTCATCATGAACAATTTTTAGCAAAGATCTGCTCCATAAAACAACTATAGAGCTACCCTAATTGGAAGAAAAGAGGAAAAAATATTTGTTTACTCTGAAATCATCTGCTCATTTCTAGGGTCGCTAGAAGTCCCTCTTATTCTAATGTCTTCATAGCCTACTTCTACACTGGGATTTTCTGAGAAAAATCAGACATAACTCAGATGTCACAAAATAAGAAACTCCAAACTGGTCTGTTAGTTTACATGGAAGCACTATAACAACAGATTTCCTCTGAGAGTAGGAAGATGAC